CTAAGTATTGGACCGGGCACTGTCCCGAATGGTCCCGAATGATACCGCACTTGTGTCCCTTTGAACTTCAGTCGTATAATAAATCTCTTATTAACCAAGCTTGCTCGGGACCGTACTGGAAGAATATCGGCCCCCGGTCTTTTTTGTACGGACCTCGCTGCGCTCGGTCCGTACTGTCAAGACTTCGGGCTGATATTCTCCCAGTACCGTCCTCGCGCTTGGTTAATAAGATATATAGATGGGCTTTCTCTTACCTTCTTTCTGGGAAGAAAACTGATTTGATTATAACAGTCTTTGTGATAAGACTGTGCCCTATTAAGGTAGGCAATCGATATTTTGGGAAATTTCTTTAGGAAGCAATCAGTACCGTTTTTGGCTTCAACAGAAACAACAATCTGATAGAGGCAGTAAATGATGTTAGTTATAAACTGCTCTAATCTCAGATGCTGTCAAGTTCATGATGAATGTTACGGTCGCATTACGAACGATCCAGACTTGTGTAGGTTTTCTTCGTCTGTTTATTGGAAAATATACGGTAGAGATGACACCTGTACTGGTTGTGGTAAGTCTAGATAATTTCAAAAGTTTTTTTTAAAATCTACTTTAGAGTCTTTGTAAACTTTGTGAACTGTCCGTTAATCTTATTGCGGTACCCAATTGAAGTACACCAGACAGACGCCACGGGGGAAAAAGGTGGGAATTGAAGCAATGCCAATATTTTCTATCTTTGTAGTTTTTCGCGATCAAATTAAAAAGGTATAATAAAATGGTTATTTGTTTTCTATTTTTCTATCTAATTTGTAGTTATGGGAATCTTATATCGCTAGTAAATTAATTGGTAAATTATAAAAATATGTTCTTTAATAATCAATCTTCTTCTGAACGTTCAAGTCATATTTGTACTTCAATTGTCTCCTCCTATCTGTGCTAAGGTCTAAAACGACAACAATAATTAATAACTAATAAAAGTTATATTAACACGTCGTAATGGCTCTTATTCTACAAAACTCAGCTGATGAAGAGGGTTCATGTGAGCGGGCCATTTGTGAATGTGACGGAGCAGCAGCCAGGTGTTTTGCCGAGTCAGAATGGAACGAAGAGCATTTTAATTGGCCACCCGAACAGTGTTGACGCACAAAAGAACGACACCAGCACTGAACAAAGTTGAGAATAGAGAGAGAAAAATGGAAACAAACTTCTTATGATTTAGTTCGACATATAACACATAAAATTGTAGGAGAGACTGTAATGACAATAAAAATAAAAAGAAAGGAATACACAAAACCAAGTCTGACCGAAAAATAAAATTTTTTATTTGAGGGGGATATAGAAAGAGAAAAAAAGAAAAAAGTACATTGTATTAGGGAAATGGACAGCTTTCGTCGAAAAGAGGCAAATGATGGCACTTCCTTCCAAAATTTCCATTGAATTTACAAGACCAAATAGACTCCTCGCGCTTTCAGCGACGTTTATACGGGGCTTTAAAGAAATTCGACGTAGGGACTCCCCACTGCTAAGAAACTAGTACGAAAAAAGTCCGGCAGTGCACTCCACTGCTACAATAGTTTTCCTTGTTTGAAAAGCCACAAGGTTACGATTTCTTAAATTTAGTACGTTATTACCAACCTTCTACACCGAATGCAAATATGGCGTCCAATTTGAATTGCCATTGTTCTGGACTGACTAGCCTTGTCTTCACATGGAAACACAAAAGGATTATTACATGTATGAGAGGCTAGTCAGTCCAGAACAATGGCAATTCAGATTGGACTCCATATTTGCATTCGGTGTTTCGTGTTATTTTTAGTTGCATATCTGTACCTAAGAAATTTCCATCGAAAACATCCTCGCTATAGTTGCTATTCCTCTGGTAAAATGTCAAATACTAGTCGCAGAGAACCACCCATAATTATTTTTACCAAATTACAGAAGAAAAAAAAGACTCATGAAGACCTTATCCTTCACTTTCACTGTAATATCTGGACCCAGGGAATCACGGAATCACCTTCGAATGAATTGGAGGATATGAGGCACAATCAATCAAACTTTATATTAGAAATTGCCCTTTTTCTTGGTTACTTTCTGAAGACAAGTTCTCGTCCGTAATATATTTAAAAAGGGGTTGCGATTTAAACTTTGTTTATTATTGAAATACCAAAGCATCGGTGGTATAGTGGTGAGCATAGCTGCCTTCCAAGCAGTTGACCCGGGTTCGATTCCCGGCCGATGCAAAGGTCCTAGTCATGTATTTTGCAACCATTTTATCCTTGTAGGAAGAGTTTCTAAACAGCTTTTGTCTAATTCTAGGTCCTTCAAATGTGTATCGCTGGTCACTGTAAAATGTAACACATGCTGTGCGACGCCTCACTTCCTCTTTAGATGAATGAGCATGAAACAGACTAATCAATAGTTTTTATACATTTTTGTTTTCACTTTTCGATTCGTTGACAGTAATGCCTCGTCGACATTCAAAGCCACTTAAGGTTTGAACGTTTTCACCGCTCCGCTCAATGACAAGTTTCACGATTTGCGTCTTCATGATTACATTTCAGGTGCTGACTTATTTACCCACTGCGTAACCTGTTACACAACAAAGTCATTAATTCCCTTTTTGATATGCTGACTTCAAATCTGTAATGTGTGAGTGGCGTCGGTGGTATAGTGGTGAGCATAGCTGCCTTCCAAGCAGTTGACCCGGGTTCGATTCCCGGCCGACGCATACCTTGGGTACCTACTTTTACATTTATGGGCAGACGTATGGATGACTTCACCTTAAGAATTACTTTTTTGTCTTATAAAAGAAATAGGTTTCAAATAGATGCCGTGCGTCTGTTCGTACTAGTTCACAGAAGACGTTAAAATATGTGGAGAATGTCTGTGACGGACACACTCGGCTGCGCCTCGTTTGCCACTTTTTGTTCCTATCACATTGTGACGCTATCTTTGACCTGTTACTGAACAGGCGCATGGTAATATGGAATCTACTTGTTGTGCGGATTCAATTGTAGCATCAATAAAAAATAAAAACAATGAAACAGAGAAGTTTTCACTGAGTTTCAATTACCTTCGGCAATGAAAAAGACTACGTCGAGTGACTGGATACCTGATTGGGTAACCATGCGTCAGAAGCTGACGTTTTTCAAACTTGTCAAATTCATTGAATCCATATTGTTTCTTTCATCGGACCAAAAAAAAAAAATTGAAAAAAAAAAAACATTCCTACCTGCTAGTTCCGTGTGAATTCCTCTTATAAGAAAATGCAGCTGCTAAGGTCCAGTCTACTCTGTTCGACTGTGATTCTACAATTGATCCTGCTGTGGTAAAAATGCAAAAAGGACAAGATCCCAACGAGATTTGAACTTGGATCGCTGGATTCAGAGTCCAGAGTGCTAACCGTTACACCATAGGACCTATCAGACAATATGGCTTAGACCAAGGAGAGAGCAAACTGAAGTGAATATACGTGAAAGTTTTCTTGCTTCTGATTCTGACTTGGACCCACGAGAGAGAAAAATAGTGTCATGTAGTTCAATACCAAATGCTAGTTTGATTATAGTAGAGAACCACCCATAATTATTATTGCCAAATTACAAAAGAAAGGGAGGCTAATGAAGAGCTTTTCATTTACTATCCAACGGAGTCCACGGTAATATTACATTGGATTAGGTATCTGCAAAATCATCTTTCATTGACATGGATGATACGAGGCACGATAAATCAAATTTACTAAGAAGAATATTTTCCACAGTTGTTTTCCCACGAAAGATAGCTAGCACTAGATAGATTTTCTCAGTAAACTATCTAAAAGGAATTTTCATCTAAACTGTTCATTCAAAGGTAAAACACCCGAGCGTTGGTGGTATAGTGGTGAGCGATTCCCTGCCGACGCATTTCAGTTATTTTGTCCTTGTATAACGCTTGCCACAATAAAAGGAAAACAAGTTATGCTACACCTATGTTCCTTCCTGAATAAAGTTTACATGGACAGGAGAGTTTCAGAATTTTCTTTTCCTCATTACTTTGCTTAAGTAAAAATATAAAAGGACAAGGTCCCACCGAGATTTGAACTCGGATCGCTGGATTCAAAGTCCAGAGTGCTAACCATTACACCATGGGACCTAACAGCCAATAACAATCGGACCCAGGAGAGAACAAAGTGAAGTGAATGTACGTGAAAGTTCTCTTGCTTCTGATTCTGACTTGAACTTGGACCAATGAGAGAGCAAAATATAGTAAGTGTAGTTCAATACTAAATGCTAGTTTGATTATAGCAGTGAACCTCCGATAATTATTATTGCCAAATTACGAAAGAAAGTGAGGCTCATGAAGAGCTTTTCCTTCAGTTTACTATCCACTGGAGTCTACCGTGATAATACCTTGGATTAGGAATCTGCAGAATCATCTTTGATTGATATGGATAATATGAGGCAAAATAAATCAAATTTACTCTAAGAAGAACCTTTTCCACAGTTGTTTTCCTACGAAAGATAAGTCCTTGTTCACAAAGCGCATATTAGCACTAGATAGACTTTTTTCAGTAAACTATCTAAAAGGGATTTTCATCTAAACTGTTCAATAACATTTGGACCCAGGAGAGAGCAAAAATGAAGTGAATGTACGTGAAAGTTCCCTTGCTTCTGATTCTCACTTGAACCTCAGAAGAAAAGGAAAAACGGAGTAAGAAAAACGTCAAGTCAAGCTTAATGTTGTCTCAATACAGCGCAGAAGCAAGGTTTCCTTATTGTAACAATGATCAAAGGTTTAAGTTTTGTGGCTGTTTAATTTATTCTGGTTCGTTAGTAGTCGCTCATTTACTTCACTGCTTCCTCTCGTTTACAATTCTAACATTTGTTAAAAAGTATTCAAATTTTTATACATTTCATTTTAGGAAGATTCCAGTACTTCCTTCCTTGATGAACGGAAAACGTTCATCAGTAATAGCCGTACAGTTTTTCTTTATCCCATGTTTCTCGTTCTTTATTTTTTTATACAGTAAACTCAATCTCCTCCATAGTGACCAAACCAAAACTTTATCGGGCCCAGTAGACCCCTCTTTCCTTATGCGTACGTTTGTGTAGATGAATTTAGGCATTCGGAAAGCACTTTCGCGCTTAAAATTGAGATCTAGCTAAAGTAAACACAATTCGTCTTTGTTCGAGTTAAAAGCTCAAATTGCTTTGATTTGGATCAGAGTTAGAATGACCGAAAAGCAGAAGCCTTCTGTCTTTTTGTAATTATTTCTTGAGATATACTACTCATTTGACCCATAAAGCGTGTTCCTGTCTGAGAAAAAGCACAAACCTCGCCTTAGGGTTATGAGAAAAGTTTGAAAACATTTCTTACTCTTTAAAGTGGTTTATTTTCTTTTTAAAGTGCAGCTGCAACAAACAAGGTAATGTATTATTTTCTCTCTTTTAACCACATTCTTGTCATGTATCAAAGCCGAGTTAATTGTCTGGTCCTAAAAGTACGATTCTTCACAGTCTAAGCAAGTAGCGCACCCAAACGACGTTTAAAACGAACAAATTAGCTCTTATCCTGACCAAGTAAAGTCGAAAGTTCTATAATAGACGTTTTTGAATGGCTGACAATGGAAGCTTTCAAAAGAATATCCTTCAAGTATTTGACTCATTCAGAAATGAAGTTGCTCAAATTTCGGATACGAAACGTAAGCTTTTGAATCGCTTCAGCATTGAGCACTGACGATATCGACTGTTTCTCGATCGAGAGTCAGGCAAAGATGAGGTCATCTCTCGTCATGATCACTTTTGTAGCAGTTTTTGAAAGTGTTACGTTACTCCCAAATCAGGTAGTTATCAACGGACCTATTTTTAAGTAACGGGAGATACGAATGTGCTGAACGTGGTTTTAGAGGAGACTTCCATCGAGTAAGAGGAAACCTTAAATATGAGCCTGGTATGATAGAGTACGATTCCCAGCCGACGCATTTATTTTGTCTACCAATTGTATAGCTCTTGCCACAGAAAAATGTAATACAAGTTGTGATACGTTGTGATAAAGTTGCACAAATTGCAGATACCAAACATAAGAGATTAACACTCATATTGGTCAATCTTAAAGGACTGTTGCTTTCCTGTTTCGCACTGATTAAAATCAGCGACAAAACCAGAAGAAATGAACAATATTGCATTGGTGATTGCCGAAATGAGGCCCAAAACCAGTATCTAGAAGACACAGTATCTCTGTCTTCTATATACTGGTTGGGCGCTATTACCAACTGAGCTACGAGGCCTGAAAA